GAACGTTGAAAGTTGAGAGTCATGATTGAGACGGAAGTGCATACAAGGTGCAAAACAGGGAGGCATGCTCTCACTCTTGACCATTTCAAACAAGATTTTTATCCTTTCAACAACACCCATAAATTGATTTACCAGGTGCATTTTACGTGTCTTTTTATTTTTATTTTAGTGTTAGTTTGCGTTCTCATTATTCTCAAGTCCATGTTTGCCATTAAAAACATTATGGGTCCGTTTGATTGCAAATGTGGAATTTGAGTGAAAAGAAAATGAATTACAGGGAATTAAATTGTCTAAAATTTATTTTACTGGGAATTGTTATTAATTGTGTTTGATTAATATAATTTTTCACCTGAAAAATGTTGAAAGTTTGGTGTTCGTTTGTCTTTATTTTTCATGGAAGTTGTTCATTAAACTGATAATTTTTTTTACCATTGAGTCTAGAATTTGTTCCAATTGCAACAGAAAAAAAAAATTTACCATACCGAATACCATTCGTTTGGCTTTTTTTCCTTGAAATTGTCAATAAAAGTGAAAATTTTTGTAACAATTGTATCTAGAATTTTTTCCAATTGCAAAAAAAAAAATTATCTTACCGAATACCATTCGTTTGACTTTGTTTTGCATGGAAATTGTCAATAAAAGTGAAAAAAAATTACAATTGTGTCCAGAATTTTTTCCAATTCCAACACACAAAAAAAAAAAAAAGGGGAGGAAAACCAAAACCCACCTAAAAGGTAGGGAAGGAAATTCATCAAAAAGCAGTAAAAAGTGCACTTGAAAATGATTTACATGGAAAATTTCTCCCACGAAATAATGCAAAAGCTAGAAAATGGAAAATAAATTCTTAGTTTAGGGAAAACAAATGCTATCAAACGGGGCCTAAGATAGAGAAAGACTGGAATTCAGATGTTTACTTGTTCGAGTTCTCAATTCAGTTAAATCATAGAAGGTCCGCCTCATGTCGAAAGATAGTTGAAATGTGAATCATTCTTCAAAACTGGTCACTTTACGTCAATGTTTTCTTTGTGTGGGAAAAACTACAATGCTACACAAAAAGGTAAAATTTATTTACAGTAACAAGAAAACAAATAAGCAATTTGGTAGTAGAATACATCAATAAGGTACATGAATATATTTTCTGGCCCTCGTTGTCAACATAAGCATTGTTTAAAAAAATCAGTCACCTGCACCTCAAGGACATACCATGTTAATTCAATGTTAAATCTGAAAGTTCGCAATATTATCCAAAAATGTTTGTCACTTCATGCCATAAATTAAAATGAGCTACTCCATTACATAATTTTTGTACGACAGAAAATTCATTAGAATTCTGCAAAACAATAGTTATCAATTACATGGTATTGCCAGAGCTCTATATCAACAAAATCCGTAGAATAATTATTCAATAAATAGTTGTAGCAGTATAATCAGCATGTAAATTATAATATAAGATCATTGACACTCTTGACATCATATATCCACAAAAATTCATATCATACGCAGTTAGATTCAAATAAAAATTAATATTCTACGCATCACCACTTACGAAAAATTATGATAAAGCATTGTTCACATGGACAAACCTTTTGCTAGACAATATACTTATGAGAGAATATTCAGATATATGAGAAAACAATTTAATATGTAGATATATAAATATCGTGTTATTTACAAGGGGAATATCACTAGCACAAACCATACCAATACAAATCAAGTAAAAAGAAAGTTAATAAGTTGAAAGCGCGCCTTCCATTTGTTTACTCTTTTAAGTATCATTTTTTTTTATTTGACATTCATATACATTTTCTTTATCCCTTAGTTCATATCTCTAGTCGCCCACTGAGGAACTTCTTATATTCATTCTCAACAAACTACTCACCATATATTTTTTTGAATTGTAAAGCATTAAGCTGTAACAATACAAGTCATGAAACAAGAACATGTGTTCTTACAAGGTAATTCAAATTCAACAATAAAAACAAAAGCATATGATGAATATGCTTATTATTGTAAGTTACCGAGGATATAATTCACTCATTGTGACATCATTTACAGATGCATCAATAGAATTACTCGATCTATTCTTTGACGATTCTGTGGCCTCTTTCGGTCTTGAATTTTGTTCCCGAAAAAGTGAAATTTCTGGATCAAGGCTACTAAACACAAAAAATGCAGGCCGTGAAGGTATTGGCAGAGTTATAGAGTAGCTTGTAAGCATGAGAACTATTGTTGCCATTGTAGGTCTGTCAGCTGCATTTTCTTGAACACATAACAAACCGATATGAATGCATCGCAAAATATCACACAAGGATCCATCAGAAGTCCTCAGTAAAGGATCTATTATATGTGTAGCTTTTCCNGATCTATTATATGTGTAGCTTTTCCGATACATAATACACTTTCTGCAAAGCATCAAGTCTCGAATCCTATTCCAAAATGGTGGAATAGAATATTAAATCTAACATTATTGTAAAATCCACCATTCAGCTCCTTATCAATCGTGGAAAACTTTTTCATTAGTGATCTAAATTGCTAAGATAAACTTTGGAAAATTGACTTGTCATATACAATACATGTTACGTATGCAATACTAAGCTATACTGACAATATAGAAATATAATATTTAAATTGACTATCTAATCTTTCAATTGAAACATAGAATAAGATAAGAACCAACAAAAAATTATTTGCGTGCTTTGGTTTCAAGTTTAGCAATCTACGAGCTAGAAGAAAGGGGGAGGATTATTCTTTTTATTCATTGTTGTTGTTGTTGTTATTATTATTATTTTGAAAACTTATTAATTGTTAAATTTATTCGTTACAATACCAATACTATATATATCAACTATATATTCCTGGGTATGGATAATGATAGAAAACAAATCAACAATAATTAACAAGCACGCCTTTACTATTTCTCTAATATGACAAGAAGTATGCCACTATGTCAAATATGGCAACTTCTGATGTTGAAAGTTTGGAAAAATCTGGTCATCTTTAATTCCACGTCTAAGTGACAACTGCCCAGCAAACATGTAATACTTTATAATAATACTATTCGTAGTTGTTCACTACGACGGTCATCCTACGTGACATACACATGGGATGACGACTGCAAATAGTATTATTTAAGAATATTGCTATGTGTACATAGCAATACACATAAGGGTGTACATAATGTGAGAGGGGTGGAGCCCGCACTACTGTAGCGCGGGCCCCACCCCTCTCACATTATGTATACCCCTATGTACCATGCTATGTACACATAGCATGGTCCATTATTTAATACTTTATGAATCTCA